ATTGGGCACTATTTCTGAGTAAAAATTTCAAGAGGAAATTTAGCAAGATGAGCTATCAGCCCCTATTGCTATAATCTGCAGGATGTAACTGGTCTTCATACACCTCTCTCCAAAAATAATACAGCAATAGCCCACAAGAAAGACATTGTGTTTGTATGTTTCACTGTTTTTAAGCCTTTTAATTAAAACCTATCAATGCCCTTATATTTAAAAATTATCTCTTGAAGAGAATACATAGTTCTTGTTTTAGTTATCAAGTGAAACAAAGTCTTCCTTACAATTCAAATATTTAGAACATTCATATTTAATACAGCTATCATATGATTGGATTTACCATATTGCTATTTGTTTAACTGTTTTAAGCTTATTTTACCTATTATTCATTTATTTTTTCCCTGCCTTAATTTCTTGTAAATTGTTGATTTTTACTCTGTATTTTTTAACTGTACTAATGGCTTTTGCGCTATGCTTTGTTTTATTTATAACTGCTGCTCTCATATTTCTTATATACATATTTTTAAACTTTCTCATGATATTAGTCTATTTCATGTATATTTTGAGAACTTTCAAGGTACAAGTTTTTCAATTATTTGTAACATAGATTTTACTTCTATAGATGTTGTAAATTGCATAGAATTATTTTTAGTCCAAACAATCAATAATCTGTTCAAAAATTTTTTAAAGAAGATAAAATTTGTTTTTAATATTTAGTCCCATAGTAACAATTTCTATTGCTCTTTCCTTGGTGTAAATCTAAATTTCCATCTAGTATTATTTCCTTCTTATAGAAGAACTCTTTTAATTATTTATTTTACTGTGGGTCTACTGGTAACAAATTTTCTTAGCTACTTTTTCCTCTATAAGAGTTATTACTTTGCCTTCATGATTGAGAGATATTTTTGCTGGGCCTTTCTCGGGGCCCTCACTTTACTATTGCAGACTGCTAAGAGTTAAAATTTCACCTCTCCTATAATTCTCTTAAAATTAAGCCCTGGTCCAAATCTTCAGCACAATTAGTCTTTCAGCTGCAGAAGATGAGGATTCATTTAAATGTCACCAAAGATACTCAAGCCAATCAGTATTCTATAGAATATTTTTCCTTTAAGAGTTTCTTGCTTGCCTAGTGCTTTACCGGTAATGTATAGTAAGTCCTATCTCATATCCACTTAGTTTAGCCTACTTTCTCTTGTCCCCGGGATGCTTCTGAAATCCGCTTTTTCACTGATTATCAAAAATCTAATTGTGATGTAGCTTGATATGACTTTCTTTGTATTTTTCCTACTTGAGGTGTTTTGTGGTTCTTCACTCTGTCCTGTCTGACTTCCTGAGAGCCTATTATAGGGGAATCAGGCTGAGTTAGTAGGCAGGCGGGACTTGACTCTACACGAAACTGAGGACTAACTGAAACTGGGTAGAGGCACAGAAAACCCCTCTCCGCTTGAATGCCTACCAGTGCCGTTATCGTTTACCATTGCCATGGCAACAACTGGAAGTTACTGCCCATTTCCTATTCCTGAAAAACCCATCTCTTAATTAGCATGTCATTAAAATGGTTATAAACATGACTGCAAAACTACTCCCTAGGCTGCGACTCTCAGCACCTTGAGCGTGGGGTAGCTCCGCTCCATAGGAGCAGTCACAGAGCTGTAATATTGCCGCTGCTTCAATAAAGCTGTTTCCTTCTGCCACCAGCTTGCTCTAGAATTCCTTCCAGGCAAAGCCAAGAACCTGCCTTGCATCAAGGCAACTTGATAATTTCCCATAGCCACCGATGTTTTCTTTAATATTCAGTCTTTTTTCTCTATATATTCAGTTTGGATAGTTTCTATTGCTATGGCTTCAAATTCATTGATCTTTTCTTCTGCCATGTCTTAAATATTGTTTACCACTTGTTGAGATTTTTTCATTTCATCTTGTTACACCAAGTTTCTTCTAGGACTGTTATAGAAACACAGTCAGCAGGTAGATTCTCTGGTTTTATGTATGTTCATCTGTAATACTCTCAGGGTAGTCTGGCTCCCCTACCTTTTTAAATTTTGAGCGAGTCTAGCAGTGTTTCAGAATTAGCTTTAGAGGCCCTAGCCAGGAATTAATTAAATTCTGAGCTGCAGGGGAGTGCACCCTTATTGATAAACTCTCTTTTATCTAGCTCTGTATTTGTGCATGTGTATGTGCACACACAAACACACACAGGTTCAGCACCCTCAAGAGCTACCTCAGAACTACATCGTTCACTTATCTGCTAGTACATGTAAACCAGGCTCTAAAGCTCTCTTGCTGAATAACTCTCATGCTCCCTTAGAAAGGATGGCATTTTCCCATTTGAATTATGTTGACAACTGAACCTGGCAATTGATCTGATGGCCTGGAGGGAAATTGAGAGTACATCTGTAGAAGACAAGACTTTCAAAGCATATTAAACAAGCAAGAAGAGAATTCTGTCCTCTACTGAGCAGGATTTGGTGCATTCTGAAGGCAGGCCCATAGCATTCAATGAAATATAGGGGTTAAAAATGGTCAAGTACATCTACCCATGTATTTCTATCTCAAGTTTCATTGTCAGGGCCCTTATTTATCAGGACCCTGACTTTGCTATTGCAGATTGCTGAGAATGAAAATTCACCTTCCCTAAAAATCTCTTAAAATTAAGCCCCAGTTCAGATCTTCAGCACAATTAGTCCTTCAGCTACAGAAGACGAGTGTCCATTTAAATGGCATCAAACGTATTCAAGCCATTTAATTTGATAAACGATTGACTTGAGCTTGTAATTTTCTCTTTCAGTGACACCTAATGACAACCAAACAATTCCACTGTCCTTACAACTACCATTTCCTCTTATTCATTTCCAAGTGTCAGATTACTACATAAACTAGTGCAGCCTCACTTCACCGCAGGTGGAAGTTGTAGCAATTACACTGCTGCAGCCTGCAAAAGCTACTAAGAGTCCATGTAGCGCCAGTAATGAGGTCCTTATTGTCGTCATGCCTGTGAGTAGTCCAACTCCAAAATCCCATCTTAGAAAATGCTTTCTAGGTTCACTTCTGGTACCAAGTGTCTTATGTTAAGCTCCCTAGGACTGAGGCCTGTACTCAGGATTTGTGTATGAGTAATGTGTATGAGTACTAAGGATTCGTGTATGATACTTCTCCCAGGAAGACTTATAAGAGAGTTAGACAATACCAGAAATAAAGGGAAGAAGCAAAGCAAAGGTCTGATTTCATATTAAGTTCCACTCTCAGCCTGCTGTTGAGGGGAAAAGAACCAACATAGTAATGGGAGATGGATACACAGACATTATAAAAGAGAATCTGAGGGGATATAGATTATGCTTTGAGAGTGGCCTCTGTGAGTACAGAAAAGCGATTTACAACTCTTTGATCAGTCCCTTCTTACACAGTACTCATTCATCACTTGCTTTTCTGCCTAAGCTTAGTGTAGCTGAAACCAAATGTCTCAGAAAGTGTCTATGACCATTAGTATAACTAAATGACTAATTAGGTGCTATTAGAAGGAAAAATTCCAGAGCTCTTCAGAATTTGGATTTTTCTTTTTTTCCTTTCTGCAGATGTTGATTTTCAGAACACAAGACTTTGCTTTTTGTTCAAATTTATACTGGGGTTGAGAGAACTAGAGTGCTGGGGCCAGAAGTAAAAGAGGAGCATAAGGAGAAGAAAAAGAGATCTTAAGAAGAAGAAAATGCTTTTAATATTTGATAGATTTGCTCAAAGTGTGGAGGGAAATTAAATTGGTTGTGTTTTCTAAATCCCTGATTGTTGAATTGATGGTTTATTTTTTCCTTTCTGACAAAAAGTAGCAATTTACTATCCTCTCAGAAGTCCCAGTAATCTTGGGGAAAGATTGTACACCTATGTACATGTATTAATGAAGTGTCACCTTTAATTTGACATGGGCTCTCCATTATATGTTATAGCATTTTACATGCAGTAAGTGTATAAGAAATTGATATTAAATGACTAACTCAAGTATTGTTTACTTTTTCTTCTTTTGAGATGGAGTTTTGCTCCTGTTGCCCAGGCTAGAGTGCAATGGCAGGATCTCAGCTCCACTGCAACCTCTGTCTCCCAGGTTTAAGTGATTCTCCTGCCTCAGCATCCCGAGTAGCTGGGATTACAGGCAAAGACCTCCAGGCCTGGCTACTTTTTGTATTTCTAGTAGATACAGGGTTTCGTCATGTGATCCAGGCTGGTCTTGAACTCCTGACCTTGTAATCCACCTGCCTCAGCCTCCCAAAGTGCTGTGATTACAGGCATGTACCATCAGGCCTGGCTACTTTTTGTATTTTTAGTAGAGGCGTGGTTTCACCATGTTGGCCAGGCTGGTCTTAAACTCCTGACCTCGTAATCCGCCCACCTCAGCCTCCCAAAGTGTTGGGATTACAGGCATGAGCCACCACGCCCAGCCTACGTTTTTTAGTATTAGTTTTATCCTTCTTTAGCATTTTACATGCAGTAAGTGCATAAGAAATTGATATTAAATGACTAAGCCAAGAATTGTTTAGTGTCCCACCACACCGTGTCCCTACTGGGGCACCAGCTAGTGGACTTGTGAGAAGAGGGCCCAACAGTTTTGTACAGTCTGTTAAATGATGACCAAGGGCAAATTTTTATATTGTTCTATCTTGTTTCTATATTTTTGAGAAGCCATCTCATCACTGATGCAAGTTAAAGTTAAAAGTCCTCACCTTCAATGCATGGGGTACAGGCCAAAGTTACCCAGACAGTAGCCAGTGGCCACCACAACTACACAGCGAGGTCTAATTTAGCTTTACTATTGAAACTTGAAATTCTCTTAATAAAGAAAGAATTTTATTTCATATTTATGTTGACTTTGACAGCCCTCGTTCTCCTGACTCCAACTCCCACTCAGTTCCTTAGACAAGTAGTAGAAACATGAGCCAAGTGGGCACAATAAGGACAAAGAAGTAAATCATTGGAAAATCTCACAGTATAACCAAGACTATGCCAGGAACCATGGGGAATTCAAATCCAGACAAAACAAGACCTCATAATCCACATACAAATTTAAAATGGCAAATAACACTGGTTCCAGCCGTCATTAGTACTAAGATGTAACTGACTTTCTTAACTCTTTGAGAGCCCTTCAGCTGGAAGATGGGAGTTTCTGGGCAGTAGCCGAAGGCAGTGAAAATGACATGCGATTTGTGTACTGTGCTTCCTGTATTTGCTATATGCTCAACTGGTCAGGCATGGATGTGAAAAAAGCCATCACCTATATTAGAAGAAGTATGTCCTATGACAATGGCCTGGCACAGGGAGCTGGACTTGAATCTCATGGAGGATCTACTTTTTGTGGCATTGCCTCACTCTGTCTGATGGGTAAACTAGAAGAAGTTTTTTCAGAAAAAGAATTGAACAGGATAAAGAGGTGGTGTATAATGAGGCAGCAAAATGGTTATCATGGAAGCCCTAATAAGCTTGTAGACAGCTGTTACTCTTTTTGGGTGGAAGCAACTCTAAAGCTTCTAAAAATTTTCCAATATACTAACTTTGAGAAAAATAGAAATTACATCTTATCATCTCAAGATTGCCTCGCAGGAGGATTTGCCAAGTGGCCAGACAGTCATCCAGATGCTTTGCATGCATACTTTGGGATCTGTGGCCTGTCACTAATGGAGGAAACTGAAATTTGTAAAGTTCATCCTGCTCTGAATGTAAGCACACGGACTTCTGAACGCCTTCTAGATCTCCATCAAAGCTGGAAAACCAAGGACTCTAAACAATGCTCTGAGAATGTAGAGTCTTACAATCAAATCTCCTGCTGATGTCACTTTGGGATATGGTGTTGAACCAGTAATCTTTGTACTGGGTTTCAAGAAAATCTTTGTTGACGTTTGAACCACTTTGTCGTAGTTCTTAAATGTTTATGTTGTATTTCTGAGAAGTTGTTTGAGGCAAATTAAAAATAATACCAAGAATATTGTTCCTTTTATGCACCTGGAACAGTATTCTTTTGTAACAGGGAGTGAGACTTTTACTGGGAAAATAGAAATTGGCCTAGAAAGGGGAGCTGGTGGCCAAAGCCTCATTCCAGCAGCTCAATTTCCTATGATGAACCTTTCTGAAGATGCTGAGGCCATGGCATGCACACCCACCAGCTGGTTCTGTCTTACCTGACAACCATTTGGAAAACTTTATTATGACACTTTACTACTTGACCGCAGAGGTTACATGGTCTCTCTTTCTTGTGTTAATTTTATGAGTATTTTGTTCCCTTGTTCAAAGTGAAGTAATTAGTCCAGCTCCTCCTCACTCTATCCCAGTTTATTCTCATCAAATTAGATTATCCCACGGGTGGGGGCTCTTTTCGTCATTCTTGGCAATGTCACCATGCTGTAGAAATTAGCACCTCTGACCACATATCCTCTTACTTACTAGGATACCAAGGTGTCTTCTACCTTATTCCTGCTCCTGGACACAACCTGTTGGTAGAAAAATCAATCTAAGAAATGTGATTATCAAATGTAAGGGGAAGGAAAAAAATAAAAGAGAATGCCCATTCCCTGGGACAATTTGTGACTTTGTCGCAAAGTCAATATTAGTTATTATACTTTACACAATTGGAAGATTGATTCAAGCAGGGTGACATGGTTTGGCTGTGTCTCCACCCAAATCTCATCTTGAATTGCAGCTCCTATAATTCTATCCTATTGTGGGAGGGACCCACTGGGAGATAACTGAATCATCGGAGTGGTTCTCCCCATAATGTTCTCATGGTAGTGAATAAATCTCATGAGATATGAGGTTCTATACAGGAAAACCCCTTTTACTTGGCTCTCATTTTCTTCTTTTGCTTCTTTTGTCTGCAGCCATGAGAGACATGCCTTTTGCCTTCTGCCATGATTGTGAGACCTCCCTAGCCACATGGAACTGTGAGTCCATTAAATCTTTTTCTTTTGTAAATTGCCCAGTTCTCAGGGTATGTCTTTATCAGCAGCATAAAAATGGACCAATATAGTAAATTGGTACCAGTAGAGTGGGACACTGCTGAAAAGATACCCAAAAATGTGGAAGCAACTTTGGGACTGGATAGCAGGCAGAGGTTGAGACAGTTTGGAGGGCTCAGAAGAAGATGGGAAAATGTGGGAAAGTTTGGAACTCCCTAGAGGCTTCTTGAATGGCTTTGAACAAAATGCTGACACTGATGTGGACAATAAAATCCAGGCTAAGGTGGTCTCAGATGGAAATGAGGGACTTGTTGAGAACTGGAGCAAAGGTGACTCTTGTTATGTTTTAGCAAGGAGACTGGTCACATTTTGCCCCTGCCCTAGAGATTTGTGGAACTTTGAACCTGAGAGAGTTGATTTAGGGTATCAGGTGGAAGAAATCTCTAAGCAGCAAAGTATTCAAGAGTTGACTTGGGTGCTCTTAAAGGCATTCAGTTTTGAAAGGGAAATAGATCATAAAAGTTCAGAAAATTTACAGCCTGACAATGTGATAGAAAACAAGACCCTATTTTCTGAGGAGAAAATTAAGCCTTGGGCAGAAATTTTCATAAGTAAGAAGGAGCCAAATGTTAATCATCAAGTCAATGGAAAGTGTCTCCAGGACATGTCAGAGACCTTTGAGGCAACCCCTCCCATCACAGGCCCCAAGGCTTAGGAGGAAAAAATAGTTAAGTGGGCCAGGCCCAGTGTCCTTCTGCTGTGGGGACTTGTGGTCCTGTGTCTCAACTGTTCTAGCCATGATTAAAAGGGGCCAAGGCACAGCTTGGGTTTTTGCTTCAGAGGGTGGAAGCCCCCAGCCTTGACAGCTTCCATGTGGTGTTAAGCCTGCTGGTACAAAGAAGTCAAGAATTGAGGTTCAGGAAGTTCTGCATAGATTTCATAGGATTTATGGAAATGCCTGGATGCCCAGGGAGGCTGCCAAGGTGGGAGCCTCATGTAGAACCTCTGCTAGGGCAATGCAGAAGGGAAATGTGGGGTAGGAGCCACCACACAGTGTCCCTACTAGGGCACCAACTAGTGGAGTTGTGAGAAGAGTGCCACTGTCTTCTAGACCTCAGAATGGCAGATCCACTGACAGCTTGCACTATGCACATGCAAAATCCACCGACACTCAATGTCAGCCCGTGAAAGCAGCCAGGAGGGTGGCTATAGCCTGCAAAGCCACAGGGGCAGAGCTGTCCAAGATCATGGGAACCCACCTCTTGCATCAGTGGGACTATAAAGTATAGTTACTATACTTTACACAATTAGAAGATGCAATTACTGTACTTTACACAATTACACATGTGAGACATAGAGTCATAGGAGATCATTTTGAAGCTTTAAAATTTGACTGCTCTGCTGGATTTCAGACTTGCATGGGACCTGTAGCTCCATTGTTTTGGCGAATTTCCCCCATTTGGAATGTCCATATTTACCCAATACTTGTACACTCATTTTATCTAGGAAGTAACTAAGTTCCTTTTGATTTTATAGGCTCAGAGGGTAAAGGGACTTGCCTTGTCTCAGTTGAGACTTTGGACTGTGGACTTTTGACTTAATGCACAGAAATAGATGAGTCAAGACTTTGGGGGAACTGTTGGGAAATCATGATTGGTTTTTCAATGTGAGGACATGAGATTTGGTAGGGGTGGGGATAGAATGATATGGTTTGGCTGTGTCCCCACCCAGATCTTATCTTGAGTTGTAGCTTCCGTAATTTCCTTGTGTTGTAGTAGGGACCTAGTGGGAGATAATTGAATCACAGAGGCAGTTTCTCCCATGTTGTTCATGTGGTAGTGAGTAAGTCTCCTGAGATGGAATGGTTTCATAAAGGGAAACCCTTTTTACTCGGCTCTTATTATCTTCTTTTATCTGCCACCATGTGACATGTGTCTTTTGCCTTCTACCATGATTGTGAGGCCTTCCAACCACATGAAATTGTGAGTCCATTGAACCGCTTTCTTTTGTAAGCAGCATGAAAACAGACTAATTCACAATATTTTATCAAATGCTAAAGTAGACTTCTACTTTTTGTTGATTGTCCACACAGCCCATGCTACCCTCCACTCCACTTCTAAGGTTTAGAATCTCTTTAATACCACCCACAAAGGCACACTTATTGGCCAAAACTGATGAGCTCAAGAGTACAGCTAAATCCAACTGAACCAATAGGATATCTTTCTTCAAAACTGTAATTTCTGGGAGCTTTAATCATTGGAATTGAAAGGATATGCAAGAAATGCATGTCTTGGGAGCTTGATCATGTAAACTGAAAAACTTTGCAAGAAATGAATGATTCCTAACTGAAGTATGTACAATGGAGTAGCTCACAAAACCTCTCCATAAATATAGTATAAAAAAATGCTCACAGGAAAATAGAGAGGAGGATCAAGAGGGAAATTGAGATGGATAGAGTAGCAGCTTGGGTTCCCAAGACTTATAGATTCTGGCTGAAGTTCAGTAGGCCCATGAAAGACCAACCTTGGGTTCAAGGAGATACCGTTGGGATCTTCCAGGATGTCTTCTTCATTTGCTAATCTAGTCTGAGAAGTGTCTGCTAGTTTTACCCAAAAAGGTACAGACCAAATATGATGCCAACCAGTACAGTTCAAGAAAAGCAGTCATATAAAGAGGTCTCCATAGCCTTCCACATCAGTCAGGGGAAAGAGTTTGGTTAGTATAAATGGCATTAAAGAACGAGAAATACTCTCATAGCATCTGTGCCTGTGTGGAGAAGGTGTCACAGATGGTAAGAACAGCATGATCAATGGCAGAGAGGCAGGATCGGATGTGATATACATAACATACCAAGGGGCCAACTTGGTTAACACAGAGGGTTCATGTTATGAGGGTGTTAACACATCTGCTATTTGCCTCACAAATATTCATTTTTGTGGATGGACATGATTTTGCCTTTTGAGGTGTCAACTTCAAAAGATCATGATACCTCTAAATGGGCAAAGAACTCAAACAGCTGATTCCAGAGAAGGGTGGATTAAAAGTGAGCCTGGAACATCTTTTGGGGAGAAAAATTTAGAAAATAGTAAGAAAAAAATATGAGGGTATGTTACAATGATTAAGGAGCCAGTTTGAAGTGACAACTTGATCATCAAAAGAAGTATGCATTGGAAAAATAGTAACTTGTGAGTTTGTATGGTGATATGGCAATATGGCTTGGCTCTGTGTCCCCACCCAAATCTCATCTCTAATTGCAATCCCCATGTGTCAAGGGAGGAACATGGTGTGAGGTGATTGGATCATGGGGGCTAATTTCCCCCTTGACGTTCTCACGCTATTGAGTAAGTTCTTATGAGATATGGTTGCTCGGTAAGTGTCTGACATTTCCCCCTTCTCTCTCTCTCCTGCCACCGTGTAAGAAATGCCTTGCTTTCCCTTGGTTTTCTGCCATGATTGTAAGTTTCCTTAGGCTTCCCCAGCCATGGAGAACTCTGAGTTGATTAAACCTCTTTTGTTTATATATTACCCAGTCTCAGGGAGTATCTTCATAGCAGTATGAGAACAGGCTTATACATATGACTAGATAAATAAGTGAGGGAGAAGGGAACGTTTTTGCCTACAATAGAATGCCAACTTCCTGTGAATAAATGTGCAAAGAGTATGAGAGTCAGAAAGTCATCATTCTGAAACCTTCATACTAAAGATTAGATTAGGCAAAAATTGTCAAGGGATAGTAAACTTATGAGAAAATTTTGATGAGAACAAGAGTATTTGCATCATCTTAAGGGGTCTCCCAACCAAGTGTTCATGACTTGTGGTGAAGAAAAGTGGCAATAATTATATAGCAAAAATACTAGACAATACTATGGTGGAGTAATCCAAATGTACATTATCAATGAAAGCACTGTGGACATCATGTGCCTACAGATGTGATACCTCAAGAAAAACCTAACTTCACCTATGTAGTATT